GGAGAATTGCTACTTTTTTCAGATCAGGTCAAGAATTAAATTTCTCATTTCATAAAATAACAGCCTTTTGAGACAAAAGAGATTTTCTTTGGAGCAGAAGGTCCTGCTACAACCCAGCAATAAGGATTGATCTCACCTCAGCCTTGGCCTTTTGGGAAAGCTGCAGGAAGCTCAGAAAGCCCATAAAGAATGCCACAGTTGATGCTTTTAGGGAATTTGAGGCCAGACAGAAGGGGGGAAAGGGTGACATCATGCATAAGAAAAAAAAGTTATGTAGGAATAATTTCTTACTTTGACAGTAGTGAAACAAAAGAAGGAGGTCTCTGTGCCTTGCCACATGAGGAAACCCACTCAGGTGCAAGGGCCTGTATGAGGAGAGGGCACCACGCTGCTTTATATCTGTACCACTGCCCCAAACCTTGCCTATCACTCCATTCTGGCAGGAAACACAATCTACTACAAAAGACCTTGCAATAAATAACACCTCCCAACCCACTTTCTGCCCCAGCACTGAAGAATAATGTATGGATGTCCCCCTGGGTTACATTCCAAAAACTAAAACATACAATGTAATTCCTCTGAACAGGACTAGGATTATTTATTCAAGTGGGTATTTTTTTATATTGTTACCCAAGCTGCCTCCCCTGGGTTACATTCCAAAAACTAAAACATACAACGTAATTGATGTTGCTGCCCAAGCTGCCCACAAGCATCTCAGGTTCCTGCTTTGCTTGTTGGGGCTCCTGTACCAGGCAGTGGTCCCTGCAGCAGGGCTGCCAGCTGTGCCAGGAAAGCTGGAATTGCTGGTTCTGCTCCTGGAGGAGTCACCTGGCTGCATCCAGACCCTCACAGGAGGGGATGAAGAGTGGTGGGCGAGCAAAGCCATCAGATTTCTGATTCCAGGGCCAGGCTAGGTGTGTTTAGTGAGGTGTGCTGCACAGCTGAACTTGCACTGCCTGAAGACAAATGATGCTGCAACATTTCTAAAGGAAACATTAACCATGTGCTTAGAGAAGGCTGTAGCACATTCTGTTAACCTGAGTGTTTGTGCATCTGCTCTATAATCGATGGTAAGTAATAAAAACAAACCAGAAAGAAAATGTTAACAAGATTCTCATGTACTTGGAAGGTGCTTAACATTGCTGGCTAGGACATAAATGCATTGCAAGACAAAAAAAATCTGCCTTTAAGAATGCAAAAACAAACCCCTACAGTTTCATGCCATGTCTCCAGACTAAGCTAGGCAACTATATCCAAAATGTTTTTCTTTGTGAACAAATCTCCTTCCTCACAATGTTGTTTTCTCTGCAGTGCTAGGGACCTCAGAGGTTTAAATACAAGTGAAGTGATTTAAGTACCTGCTGTACTTTGGTCTTACTTTTGGTGATTTCCTCTTCTCCAAGGATGAAGAAGACCCAATTGTAACATTAGAAAAAAGAGATGCACAGAGAGCCAGGCAAAGGACCTCAAGAAAGGTGTTTTGACACATGGCTGAGCATGGCTGCTGTAAACCCTGCAAGCACCACACACAGGGAAATCAATTTTCAAGGCTGCTTCCTGGCATCTCAGAGCTCATCTGTGAGATGCCAGTGAAAATATGAATGAACAGTCCCACCTCATCCTCACCTGTGTGTGCTCCCACCATTGCTAGCAGCCAGATCTGCACTGGAGCTTGGGCTGACAAGCCCCAGGATGCTTCCTGTGTGCTGGGAGGCCACAAGATTTTGGGCAGGATCAGAGGATACTTCATAAGCTGCTCCTGACATGCAGACAGCAGAGGCTACTGCTCACCAGCCTCATTCCAGCACCTGATTTTACTCAGCCAAAGCAGTAACATCACAAATATTCCCCAGACTGTACATACCTCACTGGTGTCCTGCTGGAAATGGTAAATTCTTGTATTCACAAGAATCCCTCAAAATGGGAAGTCTAGGTTGGCAGTCTGATTTTTTGATCTATGCTGGAGAGAGTCTGATGTATGGTTAGAAATTTTTCTTCTCCCAGCCAACCAATGGGTAACTGCCCTCACAGCACCCAGTTAGATATGTTGTATTTCTGGCTGCAACAAATGCTCTCTCTTCACAGCATAGGTGTTTTACAGAGAAGATGCAAGAGACTTTTGCTCCTGAGCCCTGGCAGGTTCCTGTGCTTCTCCTTTTTGAGTAGGAAGGCACTTGCTTAAGTACCATGCTTGGGGAGGCTACAGTCCCTCCTTCCTGTATATTTTCTGCTAATATCTTTTATGCCACATATAAACCAAAAGTATTGGAATAATTTCAAATATTTTAAATGCAAATACATTGTGTTACTGTAGCCACAAAAGTTTATTTTTGTTAGATGTGTTAAAAACATTTTCTAGTGAGATATGAGAACATGAAAACAAGTAATAGTATTTGGATCTCATTTCTCTTTTAAGTTGTTTCCAAAATCCTCTTATCAGGCAGAAATTGTTATGTCCTTCTTGTCCTTTGAGGCATTGGCCAAGACAGAGAAAGCTCATCAACTCTTCTCAAATTAAGCTTTCTTCACAATGCTGTTTTCAGATTCAGTGCTGTCAGCCTCTGTTTCAGTTCCATGATTCACACAAGCTTTGGATCAAGCCTCAAGTGACAAAATGAATTTACTGCTTCTGGATATTTATTTTTTCACCTTAACGCTATCTGCCTCCCAGTACTGGAGTATTCATTACCTTAGATCAGGTTAATTGTGTGCTCATGAGAACTCATTTGTATCTTGAAGCCTTTGTATTAAATGTCCCATTGCCTCAACAGACTAAAAATTTCTTTATCCAGTTACAATATCAAGTCTTGCATTGGACCTGACTCTGGTTTGCTTTAAATGCTTTTCTTTTAGATCATTTTACTTGTCATGCAAAAATAAAACAAAATGCACAAAAATTGCACATTTTGGGATCTAAATAACAGAGGTTGAGACAGCTGGAGTGGATGTTCTGTGGTCATTGACACCTCCCCTCTCACAGATTGCAGTGGCACTGCTCTAACGACACTGCAATTTGCATACAGAAAAGGAGAAACCTTCAAAGACAGCAGGAGTTCATTAATTTTAATGTAACCCACCCAAAAACGCATAAAGCAGAGGTAAATATTTGTCCATGGGGTGTCAGCAATCTCTTCCAGCCCATCATGATACATTATTATTTCCTCCTACCTAAATGACCTGTCAGACTGGAATGCTGTTCTGAACCCAGCTTCAGTTACAGAAATTATTGCTTAACAAATATTTTGCAGTTGCTTGCAAAGCCAGGATTTGAGATGGAAGATGTTATGTAAGAGAGAAGATGGAGGACAAGGACAAATAAAGAACTGCTTACCTGTCCTTCCTATTGCACAGGCAATAGCTGTTCATTCTTTCCAATTATTTTAAGATTTTTGTTGTTGTTCCTTTTGAATAGAATCACCTATGCCTTAAGAGACAACCAAACAATCACTAAGTGACTGAAATCAATATCCAGAGACTAAAAAGCAGCATAAAAGACTTAAATTTAAATTACTCAAAAAACCAGAAAACACCTGTTCTGCATTCCTGCATGCTTTAAGCTGAGTTCTAGTTCTACACATACAGTTTCTGGGCTTGCAAATTCCATACATATAATTTTTACATGCAAATACTTAAAGCTGAAATAAAAAAATTTGGCCTCCTACAAAGATAGGAGCAGACACAGTCAAAATGACTTTGTGGCATTTTCTGGGCCCCCCTGTTTACATGACCAAAGTCATTCTGGCCTGAGCTGGCACAAACCCTTGTGCAGCTCACCCTCAAAGCTGTACCTGTGCTTCTGAGCAGATTGCTTCATGGCACTGCAGACCAGAGCCACTGGTTCCAACATTAATGCTTTCTAATGGCTGCTGATGCTCTCAGAAGATGGAATGACATCCCCATGAAGAAAAAATACCACCTTGGCATAATGTAAGCAATATTTCCCTTTTCACTGCACTCATAAGCAAGTTACACTGTAGATAACCCACAGGGGAGACTTGGTCTCTCTGCAAACCCTGTTACAGGCTTCACCCCAAAGCCAGATCTGCATCCCCAGCCCTCTCCTGGAAAGAGCTTTTGCAGAGGATTTTGTCATCAGTACAAAGGCCTCCACAGAAAATAGGCTCAGTGTAAGACAGGAAAGCAAAAAAACCCACAAAGGTGTAAATGTAGGACTTGAGTCTTCTTTCATTTGTTGTTCAAATCTGACAGAATTAATGTATTGGAAGCTGTTTGTATTCTATTCATATAGAACTTTCACAGGTACAGAATCAGAACTTCAAATTCTACTGGACTTTTAGACAAACAATTCCTGTGTTCATTCCACTGACAAGATGTGGAACATTTCATTTGCATCTCAGTCAGGGATCTGTTAAGGTGGTGAGATTAATTTACTCAGAGCTTCCTACCAGATGAACTGGAATCAATTTTAGATTGCTGAAAAACAGGTCTTGTACAGAAAGACAATCTCACTGACAAATCACTTTCAATGTAAAATTTCAATACAAAACACACTTCCTCTGAAATCTACAGTGGTTTTGATCAAAGAGACAAGGGAAAACTGATCCAAGCCTTACAAAGTCTGGCCCCCAGAACCAGCAGACTTTTGGGAAAGAAAAAGATGAAATCAGCAGAGAGAGCTTTATTTTAGATCCCCTCTTAGAAGAGCCCTGGTAACAGAGACTCAGGACAGCTCATGAACAAAGTCACCTATACTAAAGTATTAGCTAGACCCAGCCTTTCCCAGAACAACAAATAAAGAAATTTCCGCATTTCTTTAATGCAGAAATCCACTACAGTCTATTCATGGTAATATTTCAAGACATCATATTTTACTTATTTCTAGTAAAAAACTTCTGCCATGAAGTTACAACAAATTCACAAGCTTTGCTACAGTGCTACTAAACTACTTTTATTCAAAATGCACCCTGGCACCAGGCCAGCAAGTGGAGCTGGTTTTGGACAGAATTTTCAAATGCATTCACTTGAACTGTGGAATGCTGCTCTTTTCTGTACCAATGGTAAAGTTCCCATTAGTGTCTGGTGAACAATGAACAATTCCCAAGTGTTACCCATATTTTCTTTCCCCTGAGGCTGCCACTGACTCCTCCTGTGACTGCAGTCACTCCTCTCTGCTCCTTGCTCCATCCAGCTGTTCCAAAGGTTACAGCATTATGGGTTTGAGGCTGTCAGCTCACATTTTGAAGTTGTTCAATCACAGTCTACAGGGGGATATGAAAACAAAAAATTACTTTAGAATATTCACCATGCCTTTTAGATAATCATTCAGAAAATCTTCAATATCCAAGCCTGCACACTGGGAACTGGCCCATGAAGTTTTGTACTGACAAACTTCAATAACATTTTAGAAGAGAACTCGGCAGCTGTCTGACATTAGCCCTCCAGTTTCCATGGATACAACAATTAGATCAGCACAAACAAAGCAGCTGAAATTTTCAAATGAATAGTATTTTACATCACCCTCTCACACAAAAATCCTGGTGACAATAGACATGTTAAAAATACTGAATTTTTTTAGTTGAAAGCCCACCCACAGAAGCAACACTGTTAAAATAAAGGTTGTATGAGAGAGGAAAATAAATCAATTTTACCTTTTAATTTTAGATAAGGAAGACTCCATGGCAAAGGAAAGATTATTATTAATATTTACTGGAAAATGATTTCCAATAACATAGGTGTTTTTGCACTACCAACAAAATTTAGAAAGAAGCTCACCTTCTTTTCCGGGGGAATAAATGAAACCAAACCAACAACACCAACACAGAAGCTATATGTGCTTTTAGGAGAACTGCAACAGAAGCTTTGCAAATACATCCAACTTCTTTGTGCTGATCTCCAAATATGATACAGACACAAAGTCTGAGCCAAGCCAAAAAAAATATATTATTAAACTGACTGGAAATACTAAATACACTGAAGCCAGTAATAGGGATTTGCAATGACTGCAAGCAGGTAACTTGTAAAGATAGAAGGCTGAATGAAAAACTCAAAACTAGAAAAATCTTGGGTAATCAAGACAGTTTGTCACAAGCTTTGTTACCTTTGGTGTGCCTGAGAGGCCTCACTTTAGACATCCCCTGTGGTTTCTGTAACATATCAAGACAGTTTGTCACAAGCTTTGTTACCTTTGGTGTGCCTGAGAGGTCTCACTTAGACATCCCCTGTGGTTTCTGTAACGTGTAACAAATCTGATGCCTTCTGTTTCTAGTGAGAAGACAGCTGAAAAGCTCCACCTTCTCGAAGATGCAGGAAAACATGACTAAATGCAAGGAAGGGAAGTTTGGATTCCCTTCTCATCAGACACTGTTTTTACAGACATAAATAAATACACAAAGTTTGCCAGGAGAGATTTCTCTGTTGATTTCTTCTATAATTTATTTTGAACCACAAACAACTTCCTCCTACAGATTTGATATTAATTATTCAATTCTCTGAGAAGAGCTGTTGTGCTAAGATCCTTTATGAGTGTTATTAATTCTTCCATGATTTAAAAACATTCATAACTCAGAAATTCAAAGCCTATATCCATTAACCAGCCAAAACCAAGGCTGTAATGATCTCTTTAAATTGAAAGTGCAATATGTTGTGAATATTAATTACATTTTTTGTTATTACATCAAATAACTTTTTTATACTAGTGGTTTCAGATTTCTCAGAGTTTTCCCAAGTGAAGGGCTACCAACACTTAAACTAAACTCCTTTTCAGCGTGTTCTACCCTCAGACACTTTGTACAAATTCCACAAAGCACTCTCTGGATTCTTTGATGGGCAAACAGGCAGCATATACACCAGAGAGCACACACTCAGCTGACTGTGGCACAACTGGGTTTTGGGGATTCTCACAGCATGCAAATTTAAAGACTGAACGTCTCATACTAAACAAGGAGACAAATTAGATTTACAAGTTATGCTAGACTCAGATATCAGAGAGGTAACTGAATGCTGATGCAGATCAAGCCCTCCCAGTGGTTGGTGTGAGACACCAGAGGAGCAGGGCAGGGCTGGCACTTCCCTCCTGCCCCAGCCTCCAGCCTTCACCTGCACCAGTGCAGAGCTCACAGCCCACCTGGAGAGAGCAGGAAGGGGAGCAGCTGAAAACATCCTGCACCTGCCTTACTTTTCCTCTGGGGTCTCAGAACTAAGAAGGCAGCTGCACTCAGCAGCTCCAGTTCAGAAGAGTTTTGTGCCTCCTCAGAGCTCAAGGTACAATTGATTACTCTGGCTATTTACATTGCAAATCAGCCCACCTGGAGAGAGCAGGAAGGGGAGCAGCTGAAAACATCCTGCACCTGGATCACTTTTCCTCTGGGGTCTCAGAACTGCACTCAGCAGCTCCAGTTCAGAAGAGTTTTGTGCCTCCTCTTCTCAGAGCTCAAGGTACAATTAATTACTCTGGCTATTTACATTGCAAACCTGGTGCTTGGACTTATTTTTTTCCCACCATCCCATTCCATAAAGACTCCCACCCAAATCTCTGCTGACTGCACCAAAATTTTCTGCTAGGAATGAACAGCAGTCTATCCCAAATCCAAACGAAGTTCCACAAAACTCAAACAATTCCCCTGTTCTACACTTCAAAGGGAACCACAAACATAGAACAACTGATACAATGTAATGACTAGGACAGAAAAAGGGAAATGTGAAATCCTAATTCTGAAATGACAAAACAGTTCAAACATGATTTATTCTTAGAGAAAAAGTACTGTTCAGGTTACCCCCTAAAACAGCTTTCCCTAGATTCACTGTAAATGAGAGTCAGCAAGGACCAGCAGAAGGAAAACAGGCATGGAGGACAATGGGAAAATGGAAAAAGGGAAAAATCCACCAGGGAATGGCACAGCTTCACTGGCACTGCTGTATTTTTTTCCTGTCTCTACAGTTTAACCAGGAAAGTTTACACCTCTCCTTTTCTTTTTATAAAGGAAGAGAGAGGTAGGCCACTGGAAGAGGACCAATCCATATTATGTGCTACAAAAGTTAGTCTAATAACAGATGAAAGAAAGCCTTGAAAATGAAGTAAAGATGGATGTTTTTTGTGGATGTTTTTTAGTGTCTCACTCCATAACCAGAGGGCAGGGGATTTGTATACATATTCATCAGAAGTCTACATGGCAAGGTTTAAAAAAACCTAAGACATTTATGTGGAGACTGTCAACAATTCAAGACAGGAACTATTTAAATGAAATGATTTAAAGACTGAAATAGCATCAGCTATTCTGGGGAAGCAGAATTTATTTGTGTTGGATAGCTTTCCCTGTATAATCCTGCCACACACTATGTTCCTAGCTTGCTGTCACCATAAAGCTTGCTATTACAGATTTCTGGGGATACCTAGAAGCACATAAGGATAATTTGTTTCTCATGGAATGCTGTATCAGTAAACATCCAGGCTATATCAGTCACATAAATGGGGGATTCAAAGCTTAACTCATGAAAATTTTGATTGTTTATTATTTCTTCCAGTGAGCTTTTTAATGTAGTGTAACATAAATGTTATGGGAATAAGAGGAAAGTTGGGCATCAGTGGCACTTCTGCCAGGCAATGGAACCCAGAAGTGAAGAGGGTTTCCACTACTTCCAAAAATTTAGTTTGATGGCATGTATTGCATCTGTTCATTTTTCCAGTGCCTAAACAGGCAAGAATTGTTTTCAAATCCTATGAGTCATATTAGCTGTTTTATGGTTTCCATATAAAGTACAAACATTTTTTACTCTAAAAATTATAAGTTGTAAGTGAAAAGAGGCCAGGTTTAACCTGCATTATGAAATCATATATGTCAGTCAAAAGCAGACCAACATGTATTTCAGATTTATTGCTGATCACTCTCACACAAACATCTGCAAAACACAGCAAAAGAAAAGCCTTTCACATTAAACAAAAGAGTTTAATAATCTTCATCTTGACCTGGACACTTCACATCCTCCCCTAACTCCCAGGACTGATTTAAACATGACAACCAAGTCAGAGTCAGATTTCCACAAACCACGTCTCAGACCCTGCAGAAACGGGAAAATATTAGTGCTGAGGAGTTTTTGTGTTCTAAAGCAGGAATTGCAAAGCACATCCACAGAGGCTTCAGTAACACCCTGTGCTGTGCCCCACACCTGGGTGCATCCACACACAAATTTCTGTGTGCACAGGGGCAAACAGGCCCCTGCCTTTGCCCTGTCCAGGGAGCAGCCTCTGCTGCAGGATCCGTGTCTGCTTGTGGTCTGCACAACCAACGTGCCTCAAGGCAAACTCACAAGACGAATTTTGGGGGGTAAGTACTACACCCAGCTTGCTGACTAACTCTGTAAAGCTGTGCTCAATCCCCTTCCCTCCTCTGTGACTCTGTTTAGCCTCTGGAAACTGCAGAGAACAGCTTCTGCTTCCCCAGGGTGGAACACCCTGGAAGTGCTACAAATTAAAGAAACTTCAATTGAGAACCAGCCAGAAAGCTGCAGCAATTTCTCCTTTCCTCACAGTGAGTCAGCAGAAGCCAGACCTTTTTCCCAAACACAACCAGCCTCTCCAGGATGGATTTCCTCCTTTTTTTCCCTAAGCTGAGGCAATCACAGCTCTTCCTGCTTCAGCAAAATATACTCTGCAGAACAACAAATCTCTCCTCAGCCTCAGATGTGGCACATTCTGTATCTAAAAATACCTCAGCTACCCTTGGAGGTTTCCATTTGCCCTTACACAGGATAATTAACTCACCGATTTTGTAATTCCCTGATAATGGGAACAATTTTAGGGTAATTAGTAAGGCATTAAGGTTCTCTTTTTTATTTTTTTTTAATTCATTGGTTTTTTTACAATATCTGAGGCGAACTTTGAGCCTCATTCTATGACTTTGGTGACTAATGTTTTATGAAGATCACATTAAATATTCTTGTGCATGAGAAAAAAGGGGGTGCCATTACCCTGAATAGATTATCCTGATCCAAGATATCTAAGGAATTTGAGTCCATTTACTAGTGAAAAAACCAAACCTGCCTTTAGTCTGATCTTCTCCTTATGTCAAAATGTTACTGAGATCTACTTTGCACAGACATAGACTTCCAAAAGCTTTCCAAAAGCTTTATTTTCCCAAAGCACAAACTTGGAAACTTGCTGGCAAACCCTCGAGGCTTCACAAGGGAAAATATGACATTGATACAAAAACCATGTGACAACCTTAATGGTCTTCTGCCCTTTAGCAACAAGATAAACCCTCAA